TTGATAAGTCCGCGTCAAAAGGCTGTTTCAATGCAACTAACATTTATTAAATCTAAACCATAAGCATAAGCTTAAAGCTAAGTCAACTAAATACTAATAACAGAGTTGTTACATACATATATATGTAAAAGATAAGTTGCTGAATTCATTGGAGTATGTACATATGTTATTTCACAGTAATTCAATGTTAATGTACATCTATATATTTTCTAAGATTAGGGTATTAAAGNGGTATCGATGGGTATAGATTTTTTATGTCGAATGATACCAGCTTAGTATCCAACGTGATAACTGAGTCTTTTAATTTTTCAATCAATTCCGTTGTACTAGATATTGAGTACTTATTGGGCAATCCAAGGTTATCCTTTAGGAAAAATCAACCAACACCTACACACAAATAACNCAACTAAATACTAATAACAGAGTTGTTACATACATATATATGTAAAAGATAAGTTGCTGAATTCATTGGAGTATGTACATATGTTATTTCACAGTAATTCAATGTTAATGTACATCTATATATTTTCTAATATTAGGGTATTAAAGTTGTGAACATTAATAAGCTGATGTTAAATATATATCATTTCTCCACTCTCTATTTTCGAAAATCCTCAACCATAAAACGATCAACCGGATTTCGGTTGCGCTCACTTCTGCGAAGTGGTTCAGCTGCAGGCGATTCATGAAGAGAGATGTTCTGCTCCGCAATGTTACGCTCAGCGGGATTAACAGCGCAAGACGAATGTTTATGTACAGTGGCGTCGAAAAAAGGTTGCGCTGTGGGACGATCTTCGTTTCTTTCCTTGAGTTGGTTTTGGTGTCGTTTTTGATAGCCCATCGGGGAATAAACGATGTACGTCATTTTGCCCAGAACTCTGTCGATGCAACCTTATATCCACTTAAGGCCGCCAGCATAATTCCGCATGTAAACCAATTGCGAGGGTTTAAATTTTGCGTTGGCCTTTTTGTTCGGTTTACTCTGAGTGATTGGCAGTGCTTGCGATAGCAACGTGCGAACGGCGCGACCATGCAATAGTTGTGCAGGTGTCTTAACTTCAGCGTTGGGCATTGAACGATACGTCGAACGGTATTTTATCAAAGCAGCTGGAATCGACAAGCCATCTTGCAAATTCTTGACCATTGCCGTTTTGAAAGTGCGAACAAAGCGTTCAGCTAATCCGTTTGATGCCGGGTGAAAAGGTGCTGATGTGACATGTTTTATTCCATTTTTAGCGCAAAATTGTTTGAAGAGGTCGGCTGTCAGTTGCGGCCCATTGTCACTGACCAGCGTCTCGGGAAGCCCTTCAATAGCGAATATGGCGGATAGAGCCATAAGGGTATCTGTCGTCGTCGTTGTTTTCAGCTGTGTCACATAGGGATATTGCCAGTATGCATCAACACATACTAGCCACATATGATTAAATACAGGCCCCGCGAAGTCAATGTGCACACGCTCCCATGGTCGTGCGGCCTCCGGCCAGTTGCTGAATTCGCAAGCAGGATTCGATGAGTTCGTTTTGCAGATTTCACAGTCTTTAGCGAGGTTCTTGACGCGGACTTATCAACTGGCGACGAGATTTTTAAATAAGCAACCCGTACGTGTCATATAAAAGTTATTCTCGGTTTTATTTTATAATTAATAATGCCGGACGAAAAACCGCCTNCCCATTGTCACTGACCAGCGTCTCGGGAAGCCCTTCAATAGCGAATATGGCGGATAGAGCCATAAGGGTATCTGTCGTCGTCGTTGTTTTCAGCTGTGTCACATAGGGATATTGCCAGTATGCATCAACACATACTAGCCACATATGATTAAATACAGGCCCCGCGAAGTCAATGTGCACACGCTCCCATGGTCGTGCGGCCTCCGGCCAGTTGCTGAATTCGCAAGCAGGATTCGATGAGTTCGTTTTGCAGATTTCACAGTCTTTAGCGAGGTTCNAGGTGCTGATGTGACATGTTTTATTCCATTTTTAGCGCAAAATTGTTGTCTTTTTTAAAAGACAAAGCTGTAGGAGAAGGTTCCATGGTGACATNAACCGCCTGTTAATAACAATGCGTTTTTCAAGCAACTCCTCGAGCAACAGCAAAATTTTACACAGAAAATGTTTGAAGCGCAAAAAGCATGGATGGAGTCTTTTTTAAAAGACAAAGCTGTAGGAGAAGGTTCCATGGTGACATCACTCCACGCATTCAATAAAGAGCTCCAAAGGTGGGACTCATATTTGGAGCAGCTAAGCCAACACTTTATCGCTTATGAAGACAGAAAAAAATAAGTCCTTCTTCTTATCGTGGACGGGCAGCGACACTTTTGAACTGTTAAAAAAATTATTCGGCAGTCATGACTTGCAAAACCACAGCTATGCAGAGCTAACGGAAAAATTATCAGAACATTTTTTTTATTTCTGCACGCTACAACTTTAATAGATGTAGTATGAAGCCAAATCAAAGCTACAAGGAGTGGGTCGCTGATTTGCGGGGCATAGCAAGGGAATGCAACTTTTTGTGCAGAAGCGGTAACTGCAGTTATGAGTACGTAGATGAGATGATACGTGACATGATAATATTACATAGAGAGCACGACANCAGTGTTGCCACTTTGTGAGTAATTCCTCAAAACGTGAGGAATTTCGGGTGCGCTTGAGTATTTTTTGAGGATTTTTATTTTGAGGAATTTTCTCTCGATATAAGTATTTGCAGATAACAAATGCGGCCATGTTTAACACAAGAGAAATGTTAAATCGCTCTGCAAATTTTTGAACAAAAAGCTTTCCGAAGTTTTATAAAAAGCGAAATACACCTCCCAAGTGGCTTGTCAAACATTCTTCAAACCTACTTTTCCCATTTCGCCATACACCATGCAAACATGACTTGTTCAAGCGAAGAATTTTAGTTTTCTTCCGGTTCACAATGTAAATGGGTTTTGTTTTCTTCAATAGTCGCGCTTCTTNGAATTTTAGTTTTCTTCCGGTTCACAATGTAAAAGGGTTTTGTTTTCTTCAATAGTGGTATTCGCGCTTCTTTGTATTCGCTGTATCCTGCGTAAGTGTAACTGGACGAGCGTGTGGTTGATGTTGCATGTGTATTTGATGTACCGCTAGCAACAACAAATCACACGCTCATGCAGTTACGATTACACAACATACAACGAATACCCATAAGAGCGAATTCCCCTAATCTTTCTCTCTCGCGTCCTCATTACGTTGCGAATGAGGCGATTTTATCATACACAACGTAAGCGGTTTGATCAAACGTCAACATGGTGGCTTGTCAAACCTTCAAACACCCCCATATACTACATAAATAGCTTTAAGGAAAGGGATATTTCGCTTGGTTTGTCAAGCCGCTTGTGTGGTGTTTTTCGCTCTTAAGCACATCTGCATTTACTGCTAAATATTCAGAATGTTATCGATAATTTTTTTCATTCCATCGTTATATTTTCAACTTATTTTAAACTTGCAAAATGTCGGTAACGAATGGAGAGAACACGCATTGTTCGATCATAAGGATATCTATATATATAATACGCGGAGGAATTTTTTGTGCAGCATAAAAGATCTGCACCGTTCGTTCGATTTTCGAAAATGGGGTGTCAAATTAAAGCGCTTGGCCTGTAGATGTGCAATAAGGTTGCCACCTGTTAAATAATTAAACTCAAGTTATTTACTAATCAATGCCCTCAGATCCGCACCGTCTTTTCGATTTCCAAAAGTGAGGTACCAAATTAAAGGGCTTAGGGTGTGGATGTTCAAGAAGGTTTTACCTTTTCGAAAAAAGTTGCCACCTATTAAGAAATTAAGCTCAAGTTAATAAAAAAATTAAATCAATTATTAAATATGGGTATCAATCGAAATGGTTTTGAAAAGGCTTTAGAACTTAAATACGTATAGGAGGGTTGCCACATGTTATAAAAAATTTATTCAATTTTAATTAAAGGAATTAGGTAAGTGAATAAGGTATGGGTGTCATACAAAAGAGGTTTAAGAAATGAAAAGCTTCAAGAAATACTTAGTTCGACAATTTATAACATTTTTGATATGTTTGAGGGTGGCCCCAGCTTAAAGGGCTAAACTAATGAATGGTTATCAATGGAAATGGGTTTAAAATCCTTTATTTAAGAACAATATTTAGGAGGATTGCCACGTGTTTAAAAAATAAATTTCCACCTAATTCATCAGTTACATGAAATATTTATAACAATGTCGGACGAAAAATATTTAAGGAAATTTTAGTTCGAAAATAATTTTTAAGAGGGTTGCCGTCTGTTTTGAAAGTGGTATTTAGTTTAATTATACATAACTTACATGAAATTTTAAAATATGGTTATCAAAAGAACGAGTGTTAGGAAATCATTAAGTTGAACATTTTTTGTTTTTTTTTTGTTGAAAAAATTAAGCTCAAATTATTTAATAAGTTAAATGGATTGTCAAAAGACGGGTATCAATCGAAATGGGTTTGAAAATAATATGTTTCTATACTGTATTTAGGAGAGTTGCCATGTGCTTAAAAAAAAATTAATTCAACTTAATTCATCAGTTAATTGAAATATGTATAACAATGCCAGGCGAAAAATTTTAGTTTGAAAATACCTTTAAAGGGGTTGACAAATGTTTGAAAGTCGAATTTGTTTTACTTATACGAAAGATACATAAATGAAATATCGAAACATATTTTTATAATATTTTTAATAAGAGTTGCCATTTTTTTAATTAGAGTTGATAATATTTTTAATTAGATTGCCATCTATTTTTTTGAAGGTCATCACATCTGCACCGTTATTTCGAATTCCCAAAATGAGAAGTCAAATTAAAGAACTGGAATTCTACATAGATGTGCACATGTTTTATTTTTTGAAGTTACAGGGAGATTTGAAATTTGATGAAATGAAAACCGACACCATGCGAGACCTCTCATCACTGAGAAATGGTTTAGATTAATCATTAGGAATATTTTTAGAGGTTTTTGAATAGGGTGTCACCTGTTTAAAAAATTTAATTAAATGTTGGCGTTTTGACGCCATCCGGGTTCACTAGTAACAAATTATATATCATTAGAAAGGTATTTTGATGCTGATGTGCAGACAATTTTTAAAATTTCAAATTAGTTTAACATAGAGCGAAAAAAGCAATTCAAAAGTGACACCAATACTAATGCCGTACACGTACATGGTTGGGGCGGAAATGCCTCCTAAATGTA